GCCTGGCAGAACCCGGCAGGAAAGCCTCGGGTATCGCGAGCCGGGGAGAGCCCGGCGTGGGCCCGGCTGAGAGACGGCGTGTTGTTCTTCCAGGCGAGGCATCTGTACATCTGTGACTTCCACAAAAACTTAATTCAGAGCGTGAGAAACAGAAGGAAGAGGAAAGGCAGCGATGACGACGGCGACTCGCCGGTGCAAGACGTCGACACTCCAGAGGTAGCTCAGTAGCTGGGGTTGTTTCCCTCCCGATGGTGGCGTTAAGCTTGTTCTTAACGGCTGCCGGTCTGCAGGGACGGCGCTTTGCCGCCCTCGCACCTCTCCTTGTTGTGGGGCGTGTGGGAAAGGGAAGGCTCCTGATTCGCTCAGTTCTGAATATAACAAAAGGGAAATGAATCTTGCAGCGTGTTTTCTGTGTTAATTGTGCGGACTAGGATGAAGCAGGATTCTCTAGCTTATTTTCAAGTGTCTGCTAGTTCTCTCAGAAAATTGCTATTTTCAACTTTTTCCTTCTTGGTGCTTTGCTACAAATCAGCAAACTCTGCCTTGTGCGGGAGCTGACAGCTTGAAGGGGATTGCAGGCAGCGCTGGCGATATAAACGCTTCGCTGCCCCGTCTCTCCGATCCTTTCCTGCCGTGCTAAATGTGTTGCAGATGGCTCCTGCAGCTACTCCGTTGCCTTAGCCTCGCTAGGAAAGTCTGATGGCGGTAGCTCTTTGGTTTTACCGCTTACTGGGGATAGGGGCGTGCGGGGAGCGGTGCTAGGAAGGAGTGGAGAAGGATGGGGGTTTTCTTAGCTGTTTTCTCCGCCCCAGAACCGGTGAAACCTCATCCGTTATAAACATGAACTGCAGCTTCCAAACCTTTTGCACAGTATAGTGGGGAGAGACTGCGCCGAAGGATCTTTTTCCTGCGCGTGCTCTGGATTATTTCTGCTGCAGCCTGGCTTAGCAGGTGCTGTTCAGTGTCTTAATTTTGAGCAGAGGCTGTCATGCCCTACCCAGAAGAGGGATTTTTTTTTTTAAAGCATACTCCAGAAATTGCTCTGTAAGTGTTAATTTAATGGCATCCTTATGGTCAGCGTCTGCAGATATCAGCAGCATAAGTGATAAAACTTTGTGTGAGAATCCTTGCCTAAAGGCATGTGGCTCCAGTCTGAAGGCTCTGCCTAAGAGGATTTTAGGGGATTGGGAGTAGTTTGGTGCTGGGCTCTGTTGTTTCTCTGTTAAACATGTGGGCTTGCTTCTCTGAAAGTTCTCTCTCAAGCCAGTGTTCTGAGTGACTTTGGGCAGCTGGCTGGCACAGTGGTAATCGCAGCTCTCCTGCAAGCCTCTTGTGTTTTCTCATGCAAGATTTAAGAATGTGTCGAACCCGATGGATATCTCTAGGACAAGAAAGCAAGCTTTTTTTTAATGGTGCCACTGTAGGATAAAGAAAACTGCCCAGGAAGTATTTTTGAGGAGTTTCAGCTAGCCGTTTGGTCAATGTCAATATGCTCATCCTAGGTGATTACTGTACGTCTTGGATGCTGGTTGGCCCTCGACCTTCTGTATTTTCAATTGCTATCCAGTTTACTGAGGGAGGAAAAAAGTATCACTCATCTGAAGACTTGTAAGGCCCTCCTGTCGTGACTGTCGTGACTGTCACTACCTGTTAGAAGCGATTCCTGCAGGAAGGGAAGAGGCTTCCACAGCACTGGTAGCTTCTGGGCCTTGGTGGAAAGCTTGGCCCTCCTCCTCTGCGTGATGCTCTAGGGTGCGGGTTCCCCACTGTGGCTTGGGAAGTGGAATTGGTGCTGTGAAAACTTCAGGATACCAAAGGGTGCCATCTGCTATCACGCTAGGCAACATCCCATCGAGTCTGACCAGGGTACCAAGTACACAGTAGCACTGCTGTTGTTGAAGTATTCTGTAGCAAGGCTGCTAAATGAGTTTAAAGCAAATCTGAATGTCTTTACTGTTCTTTAATGCAGTGAGTTTGGAGAATACTACTGTAATTGCAGCTGATCCAGCAGAATTTCTCGTTCAGCCTGCTTTCTCGGCTTGCTTCCCCACTCAGTCATCCGATGAAGCTCCTTTACCTTGTCAAGGAGGGTGGAGGGTAAGCAGTTGCTGCGAGAAGTGACTGCTGATCAGAGTTTGTGCGATTCAGAACTGAGAGAGTCCTGGGTTAAGGTTGTGTGTTTATATCCCTAAGAGGACCTGGTGCAATTCTCTCAACTGTCAACTCGTGCTGAAAAAGTTTTGGACAGCTATGTCCGTGCACATAACTCCTGCGTTGTGCCTATGGGGCAGGGATATGTTTGGAGAGCAAGAGCAGCTGTTTTGTTGGCTTGAGGTGAGAGCAGAGAACTTTGTGCTCTAGACTTTTTCCCTAGTTCTAATACGTGCTATCTCCTGGTGTGGATGTGCTGTATCTTGCTTGTAACTCATGGTGTAAAATTTGGTGGCCGAAATCACGATATAGGGACCTCATTTGAATCGGCATCGTCACTGTTGTTGTATTAAAGTTGTTACTGGGCTTTGCGTTATCATGCCTGAACTGGGGAACAAACAAAAAACCCAGAACTGATTAAAGTACAATAATGAGTTCTGAATATTGCCCGCAGCTGAAGGGAGGCAGAGCCACGCTCGGTAACAACGAAACGCTCTTAAACCGAGCTGGGCTGTTTTCCTTCCCGCTGGAAGGTGCCCGGTAGAGTTTGTTTTTTGTCAGAGTGAGATCTGCTGAGCTGGCGGTTTACACTTGGTGTATCTGTGAGATTCCAAAATGTTTGAGAGGCGAACTATTAATGACTGAATCCTTTTCAGTTACGTTAGCTTCTTTTCCTCCCCTTCCCCCTCGCTTTTCTTCTAGGTTGATTTGTATCAGTTACAAGTAAACACACTTCGAAGGTACAAAAGACACTTCAAGCTACAGACCAGACCGGGACTGAACAAAGCACAGCTTGTTGAAGTACGTATGAGCGTTTGTTCCATAATAGAAAATGCAACTTGCTATGGCGTGTGGTTTTCTATACATTGTGATCCTTGCATAAAGAGCGTATGTAATCTGGATTTTAGGAGAACAAAAGGGAACTGCTTATCTGGCTTCCTTTGTTGGCCACAGCTCCTGAGCCAAGTAAATCAAAAGTAAAAGTTCTTTCCAGAGGAGGGACTCTTAACTTCTGAAGTGAGCGTGTGCTGCTTGAAAACACAAAGTGTTGAGCTGGCACAGTAAGATGATCTGTGCGTCCCTGAATATCATAGAACCGCGGATTTGTAGTCTGCACGTCAGTCCTGCCTTCACCTGAAGCGTCCTGCGGAAAGAACTAGAAACTGAGAGGTAGCAGGGGAGCTGTGGCAAGGTTCAGGCTTTGCTTTAAGAAGCTGATTACTGCAAACACACGTGTTTCTCTATATGTAAGGTATGGGAACATGAAAAACGGGCTTCTATTGATAATTAAGTCTGTTAATTAAAACCACTGGGATCTGCCACCAGAAAAATGGAACTTTATGAAATTAGGTTTTTTTCTTACCAATATTTCTAAAAGTGCTGAAGCTGTGTGTGAGTGCAGCTGTGTGCAAGCATTTTTGCTGCATGTGAGTAATTTTAAAGGAATTCTGCGCTGCAAAGATGCAGTTAGAGCAGGCTGATGTACATGCACGGGAGAACTGGCGATCTGCTGTTAACAGGGAGACACTCAGTTGTGCTTCAGTGCAGACATTTTGTTGGTCTCTCCCTTAATCTGTGTGGATTAAAGGCAAGGTTCTTAAGCATGTGGGAGATCTCAAGGCTGAGCTATAAAAGAATAGTGATACTGCCACTATGAGTAAGAATTTAAAATCAATCTTCTGTTTTCTCACATGCGAGCTGACGTGGAGCTGGCTCTTGAATTAGCAGGACTGTGATCTGAAAAAGCACAGGCAGTTTTTGTTCTGCAAAACTAGCATTTCTAAGGGTCTGCTTTAGGTACATCTTCCGAGATGTTTGCACTAGCCTCTGCTTCTTACGCTGCCTGATGCGAGTAGGCAGAGCTGCTGTCGTGCTTTCTTTGACCTGCAGGTATTTGTCAGCCATAGCTGCAGGACGTCCGTGGGGTTGCATGGGATTCCTTGTAACCTGTCCTAGCGTACAACGGACGCGCCTCTCGCTGTTACGCAGAAGGCCAATTTAAAGGACTCTGTCAAATCGTTTCTCTGTGAATTTGGGGGGAGTGGGGTTTGGGAAGCTTTCTAACTTGCTAGTTATGCTAAACATTTATACTCTGTAGTAGTTAAATGAGCAGTCTCATTTTTCTCACTTTCTCTTGCTGATTGTAGTCTACCAAAGTATTCTGCAGAAAGCCAGAGAAGGCTTGGTCAGGTGTAATATTTTGGGTGCTTTCTTTTGAAGTTGGTGTTCATTTTGTTGAAGGAAAAGACTTCTGGAATCACAGAAGTGACTCGAACCATTTAGAGATTGTCATATTTCAGTGGGTACAGCGTGCTGAATTTTCATCGATAGCTCTGTTTTGAAGAGTTGAATGTTCAATTATAATTTTCAAAGATTCTTGTATTGTCTTAGACATTTCCATATGTGACTTCATACAGATGCACATTCCCCCCAACCTGAGTAATGAGCAGTAGCCTCGCATTTCTGGACTGTCACTCTGTTGATATTTTATAGTCATTACTTGCTTTATAATCAAGCTTTGACCACATGGGTAGGATGATACTCCTGTACTTGTTTTGAGAACTCCCCTCCCCCCCCCCTCAATTTTCTAGGCTTTTTACTCAGGAAACGAGGGTACCATCTGCTAGATTTGGTTCATAGTTTTCAAGAAAATGGTTCTTGTTCTACATTTTTTATGAGTATTGAAAACTTTTGAAGAGAGATAGGTTTTAGTTTCTTTTTTAAGCTTCTTGATCAAGCTTTTAAACTTTGTGTAGTGTAGTCAATTTAAATCTGAATCTTCAGTTTCTGCGTATGAGTGGTTGTTTAACTTCCTTTCATTCTTCCTTTGTAGATAATTGGCTGCCATTTTAGGACAATTCCAGTGAATGAAAAGGACACCTTAACATATTTCATCTACTCGGTGAAGAATGACAAGAACAAACCAGATCTAAAGATGGATAGCGGGGTTCATTAGACGGAAAAGGTTGGGACTGAGACTCAGGCCGCAAATCAAAAAGACTGAGGGTTTTTGTTGATATGCAAAAGCTTTCTTTGTAACTTTTTCCCTGCAGAGAGTTTGTCTCTGTTTTATTTTTCATAACCTTGCTGATTTGTTTGAAAACCATCTCTTATGAAACAAATTTCCTCAGCAAAAGTATTTTAAATAAATATCACTGATATCGTTGCTCAAGTGGATGTGTCTGTAACTTATTTAGTGAGTTACCTGTACCTAATAGTTAAGCTTCGACTAATTATGTAATAATATTAAAATATTTTTCAAATGAAGTGTGCCCATGAGATATTTATGAATGTACTTTAAGTTCTTATGATGCAATGCCTTAAAAAAAAAAAATAAAGCTGTAGCAGACTTGGCAATAGGTTCTTTTTCCTAAGGTAAAGGCTTTAAAAGATAGTTCCAGTTGTTAGCTGGGCAGAAATGGCTGAATAACATTTTTTCTCCCCTTTGGAAACAAGAAGTGAAGGGTGCTTTGATTTGTTTATTCATCTTGTCATTGCTGGGGTATGTGCTTCCAAGCACCGAGGCCTTCCTGCTCCTGTGTTAAAATGGAAAGAAATGCAGCTCTCGAGTTTCCAAGCTGCAAGTACGGATGAAAAGACTGCTGCAGCTTACTGTGCTGAGAAATCCTTCCACTCAGTAAGAAATCCTTTAGCTGCTGACTTTTCCATTCACCTGCATAGACTGTGGCTAAGAACTTAATTGGAGACTGGAAGACAGAGTCTGTGCTGGGTCAGTATGGTGTCTCCTAACAGACAAACTATTTCTTTTCCATGGCATGCGTTAGCTCAGGCCTGTTTAACAAAAAAACAAACAAACAAAAAAAAAACCCCACACCCAAAACCAAAGAACCAACCAAACCAAAACTTATAATAACATACGAAAAAAAAATCCAGCTATATTTTTGCTTTTAATTGAATATCTTTTGCTTTAATTGCATATCTTAGTAAAGTCTGATGTTGAAGATGAGACTGTGAATGACTTCTTGTATTGTCATTTGACTGTTGCGCCAGTCGAAATGTGTGGTGTATGGAGTAGGGTTTCTTTCTGCTTGAACCTGTGCACATAGGTTTAAGAAAAGGTGGAGGGAGAAGAGTTCTCGTCTTAAAGCAGAGGAGGACACAGCTTCAGCTTGTTTGCTTAGCATTTGGTGCAACTCTTAACCTTATCAGATGTTCAAAAGTTTTTTCTTAATATGAGAAAGCAGTATTTCTGTTGTCTGATCTGCTTGCTGCTAAGCTTGGGAGTTTTTTGAAAACTACTACTTTGCTGGCATCACTGCAAATGAGATGCTTCACTTTGTATTTTTTGACCTGTGACACTTGCATAGAACTGGATGATGATAAACCCTAACCTCAAACTGGCTGCCTTCCCGGTAGCTCTGTGGCCTGATTTCTTTCACTTGCAGTGTCTGATGCATTTCCACAATAAAGTTCTGCGGTGTTGGCCTAAGTTCAAGATGGTGATATCTAGGTAGTGGCAGCTAAAATTGGTGCTCCTTTGAAGAGATGTTGTAGTGCCCATTTCACTCCAGTGACTGTAAAGTTGTTTACTACATACCATTTGCACAGATTCAGCTTGTCATCTGCAAAGTACCAGCTGCATAAACAGCCAGGGAACCTGGCCGTGGGTGGGACATCTGAAGGATTAAGGTTTTTGCTCCCAGTGCGTGGCAGGGGTGGATGTTCTCACCTAGGCCTGTAGGACCTGTAGAAGGAGAGCAGGGAGGAGAAGCGAAAGCAAATTTCTGTGGGAAATGAGCCTTAAGCAGTAGCCTAAGCGTCCCTATTCTGCTGCATGTAGGAAGCGGAATGATTTTTTTCTCCAGTGGATACTGGATTTTCCAGGAGTGGTGGAAGGAAAGTAACTGAAAACCGCCCGCTAACTTTAGTACCCAGGTTTGCATCTGCCTTAAATCTTTAGTGACTGCTGCCTGGGAAAGCTGTGAATGCCAGGCATGATTCATGCAGAAACTAGATGGCCCAGCCGCCAGAAGTTACGTGCCCTTACTACTGCTAGAAGCTTACGGAGGACTCTGCACGAGAGCAGATGCCATATGTTTTCTTAGCAGAGCACTGACTTTGGGTGTTTTGACTGTGGGTTGCCAGATTTATGGGGGGTTTTTTTACCCTTAATTGATGATTTGGTAGGAAGCCCAAATGACTAAGGAATAATTACACAAACCAGGCTTAAAAAGCCTGGTGACACAAACTGTTTGTTTAACAGTCAGTAGGCTAAAAATTACTTGGCAAAAATAGTCCACGCGGATTTACTTGAAACGTTTATTATTAGCTGTGCATAGTCACCCCTCACCCCCACTATCCAACCCTCGTTTACTAACAGTAGGAAAAACAGTCGTGATATTTCATGCTGCATGTGGAATAAGTCTGATAAACGGGTGGTAGCAGCTGTCAGGGTGTAATGGTGTAAGATTATTAGATGAACAGTCCGTGTTTTGAGGGCAAAAGACTAAATAGTTGCTTCGGTACTACACACCTTCAGTGTGACTGACTTGATAGCTGAAGGGTTTTTATATGTAAGGCAGTAAGCCAGGCTCACAGGGAGTACTGTCTTACTGCCTGTAAGCCTGGCTTGCTCAGGTGGCTTTGTTTAAATTTACAAAGGCACGTAGATTTTTGGCTGTTTTTCTCTTGTACTGCGGTCGGTGTTGAGAGGTGGCTGTGTATCTGCAGCCCGCATCGCGATACCCCTCAAACTTGAAGATGGTTACCTCTAATACTTTGAGATACCTCTTTGTCTTTACTTCACTAGCTATTTCCTGACAGGGCTAGCCCAAAAATAAAAAGCCAACACTTTAACTTAATTCTGGGGTATTGTATTTCAAACAAAAGCTTTATTAAAAAAGCTCTTAAGTGTGGGTTTTTATGTTGCCGTAAAAGGTCTTGCATCAGTCCTATCCTCTTGAGATGTCTTTCTGAGTATATACACTGTTTTAACTGTTCTAGTATTTTAAGTGTTCGATGTTAAGATTAAGCAATTTAAGGTTTTACAGCTTGCATAGTTAATACAGATGACCAGTTAGACATATTTAAGATGTGAGTGTGCTGTAGTACTATTAATGTGAGTTTTGGCTTTCTTTTTTCCAGGGGAATTTTCAAATATGAATGGTGAAAATTTGCCTTTTGTACGTGGTGCGTATATTTTAAGGTGCCTAAATGCAGCGTGGGAGCCTGTCTGAAGAAGTGCCAGGGACTGACTAGCTTCAGCTTAAGACAACGTTAACTGTGCGATGGCAATAAAGCAATAGGAAGCGGCGCTTGCAGTAGACTGCTAGGAGGGTCATCTTCCGAATGACGTGAAGGCTTAGGCTTGAAGGTCCTTTCCCCAGACTGGTTGAGAGCGTTGTGCTCAGTAACAGGAGTCAGGCTTTTTGCTGGGGGATGTGTACTGGGATGCAGTAAGAGCTTGTGCAGGCTTTTACACCGTTATGGAAATGAAGTCAGCTACCAAATTTGACAGGAGAACTTCTTACAAGTTGGAGATTCCGAAAAGGTATAGAAAGGAAACTTTTCTACAGTATGAAAAGAGCCACTGTCTTGTGGTTAGAAAGGAAGCTTTTTTCTTGATGGTGGTTTTGATTTCCCCTTGAAAGCATTATTACGGGATTGTAGAATGATGCCTGTTGTCTTCACCAGCAGACTTGGTGTCCATCACTGACTGTTGCAGGGGATCACAAAAGATATCTTTGGTCCGAAGAAAATATCCCTGAAAGATACTACCAGATATTTAAATAATTATTGCTTTATCAGAGCTTTAAGATGACATTCATTACCAGTTATGAGGGGTTTTTTTAGCTTTTGGTTGGATGTATGTGCAATTAGTGGGTTTGTGGGACGCCCTTCCAGCAACGCAAACGCAGCTGCAGGTCTGTGTGAGGGTAACTGCATTTCTACCTCTGCTGGCCTGGGTTGGAAGTGATGGCAGAACAGTCACCAACTGACCAGAGTGCCAGGGCTCCACCCAGATTTTTTAGCTTTGAGAAAGTAAGCTTACTAAATACGTAATTTTAGAAAAATGAAGAGCTTCCATGCGTGCACTCACACTCTTCTGTGCAATTTGTCCTGAGAGCAGACCTGCTTTGCAGGTCTGCAGTACCTCAAGGGGGTTGAAGGAAGACCTCCTTGTGTATTTGTGTCAAGAGGCTTTCTCGGGCTGCTCAGAGCTCAGAAGCTGACTCTGGAAGCCCGAAGTGTGCTTCAGGGTGAGGATACCATATCTGGTTTTACAGGGAGTGAAATGTGAAAACCTTATTTAAACCCTGCTCTCGGTTTGAGTGTGAGGTTTGTAGCTTTAGGAGTCATTCCCACTTGGTTCAAATCTAGTGCCCTATGGGAGTGCTGAAAAGCTGCCTTTTATTGGATTTTTGAGGACTTGGGGAATTTGGGTGGTAACAGGAGCACATATAAAAGGTCATTTTTGCTTCCCTATACAATGCCATTGCGTTTCAGTGTCCCTGAAGTATTGATAAGTTTTGAGGTGTTGATATTTTTAATCTAAATTTCCTGAAGATGTTGCTGGAAAGCTGAATAATAGCTCTTAATACATTTTATTACTTCAAACCAGTATGGGCTGGCAGCATTTGTTAACTCGGTATTAATTTTGTTGGGATGTGCATTCCAGCTGTAAAACGACAAAAAAACCCACGTGCAGTGAGAACTTCTTTGTTCTGCTTTCTCAGCAGCACCAGCGAGCTGGAGAAGCGTCTACGTTCTTGGGCTAAATCTTTTCCCTCCCTTGCAGGCATTTGTAAACCTCTGCTCCCCCCTGTTTGCTTTCCTGCTTGAAACAGCTGTCTTTCCAGAAGCATTTACTCAGCGGATGGGTGCACAGGCGCCTTCAGAATAGCAATACGGTTCTTTACCGTGGCGTAGACATCCAATGGTTTTGTTTCTGGTCCTGAAAATATCTTCATTGCAAAGTGCGGTGAAGAAGGATGTGATGTAGTTCTCGGACTTTGTTTAGATCAAACAGAAGAGTCCAAAGTTAAGCGATTTAAATGCTGAAGTCCCCTATGATAGAACATGCAGGTTTGCTAAGTGTGTCCTAGGTGAGGCCCTGAAAAACAACAACTGAGAACTGGCAGCGTATCGGGGAATTGGCGATATGCTGCTGCAACTTCAAACCATCTGAAGCGATGCATTTCTTCGAAATGAGAGCCGATTCCTCCGGCGGAGGCTGTGACCCACTGGAGGTGTAACAGGGGCGTGAGATCCGTGCAGTCTTGCTTTGCGCAGGGAACAGGTCGTTCCGGCAGCGGGTCGCCTCGCAGCATTTCCCCTCCCAGAAGCGATCCCGCAGGCTGTCGCTGATCTGTCAGAGGTCCGTTGTGGCAGCTGGGGACGCTGAGAACCCGCTTGTAGCAGGTGGGATGCCGGGAGGGTGCCACGGGGGCACCCAGGAGGGAGCTCGGCAGGACCAATGCCAAGGATGAGGAAGAACTTCTTTACTCCTAGTGGGACGGAGCACTGGAACAGGTTGCCCAGGAATTGGAACAGGTTGTGGAGTCTCCTTCTCTGGAGATATTCAAGACCTGCCTGGACAAGGTCCTGTGCAGCCTGCTGTAGGCGACCCTGCTTTGGCAGGGGGGTTGGACTACATTACCTACAGAGGTCCCTTCCAACCCCGAACATTCTGTGATTCTGTGACCAGCACCGAGACCACCTTCATTCCCGCAGCGGGGTGTGGAAGGGAGATGAGGTACGTGAGACAGCTATAGCTGGTGAGCACATCTCTCTGCCCAGTTTGCTTTCTGTGAACTCTTGGAGATTTGAGCCTGAGCGCTGGAGAGTGTTTTCTCCTAGGAGGTAAATAATATTGCAGCAGAATTGATATTCATTGCTTTCTGTGCAACCTTGGGAATCCTTACATCGGGAATTGAGGCTTCTGTTGCTGGCAATTTTGTTGTTTCTTTGGCCTCTCACCTTGAGAAAATTGCTTAGAGCTGGCCGTGTTCTCTCGGTGGTGTGAGTGAGCGTATTGATTGCTACCAAAGCAGGGGAGAATCTCCAGGTGTGCTTCCTTGCCTCCCTGGCCATTTTGCCTGTCGAACCAAGAGTCGCTCACACAAAATTAATAGCATCTCTCTCACACAAAATTAATAGCATCTTTCTCCATCAAACTGGGCAAAAAACTGTCTGCTGATTGAATCCTCTGCCGCGGACTGCTCGAAGCTGAAGCATTAAGCAGCGCGCGAGGCTGAAGCTCTCTGCGGTGCTGCCAGGTGCCCCTGTCCTGGACTGCAGGCTCTGGTACGACCCAGCACCGCTAAGAGCTTTCTCTATTTTAATTATTTTAATCTTTTTTTTGTTTGTTTTTTTTTAGTACTGCAAACTGCTTAGCCAAGTCTTGCTGCAGGCGGTCGTTATGGTTTAATTGATGCTGCTTTTTAAAAGATGGGACAAATTATCCCTTGCGCAGCTTTGCTGTTGGTCATGAGACTTTCTGTCTTCTGCGTGAGCTTCTGCAGCGCTCGCTCTGCTGTTCTGTGCTGCTTTGCACAGAGACTGGCTGTGCCACACAGCTTTGGATGAGGCTCTTGAACTTGCATTCACTTTTAAATTAACATTTTGAACAGTGCTTCAACCTCAGCTTCATCGGTATTAGAGGAGAGAGTGGGCTTTTTACCTTTCCTCATGCTTCAGTGCAGTGGAACGGGTCTGATACCTGATTGAATTTAGGTAGGAATTCTGCTCTGAAAACTAACCTAAAGCGACGGCCAGCTCTGCCCAGCGAGCTCTGCCCACGTGCTCCTCGCTGTACCTGTGTTAGTATTGGGGAAGGCTTTGCTGCCCTTCATCCTGGTGACACTTCGGACCCAACGCCGCATCGTTGTGGACTGGTTCTGGTCTGTCTTGTGGGGCTGTGGAGTGGAGGGCTCTAGACTAACCTGAAAGTAACTAGCCATAAGCCAGGGGCTGATCAAAGACCGTCAAAGGCCAAGTTAAGGTGGCAGGGCTACTATCTAGATCAGAAAAAAAATTCAGGCGTGCCAGCTATAGAAGTCAATTAAGAGAGTCCCACTTGGGTTGCTTTGTAAAACTTCTAAGATAACCCTTGAAAAACAAACAATAAGCTGTTAAATGTATAAATTTACTGTATTTTGCAGTAATTCTTCCTGGGTAGTTATATCACCACTGTAGCTGTATTGCTGATATTCCACTTCTTCAAGCAGTGAATGACACGCCAGAGAGTAGAAGAAAATCTGGGAATTTGGATTCATATTAGGGATAAAACACTACAACCTGATGCTCTCCAATTATATTTTTTCGTAAGATTTAGTGCAAACTTGTTTTTTCAACACCAGTAACCAAATAAAATATTAAAAAGTGGCCAATATATTAAAGAACATGACTGAAGTAAAAACAAGCTCTTGTGTATTTTTTGACTTCTGTTGTAGAAGCAAAATTCATCGAATGATTCCTTTTAGTTTCCGTGAACTTGTGTGTGAACTTTTGAGTGGGAGACTCCTGTAAACTCCTAGTAATGGAGCCTTGGGGATCTATTTTTTAATTACCTTAGAGTGCAGTATTGAATAACATACTGTCTTTATTAGTCTTAGACCTCAAAACTACTTCTCATATAAAGTAAACATTGTTCTAACTTTGCCTGCCTTTTTTTTTGTGACTGAAGTAAAGAATCTGTGTTATTATAATAACGGTTTTATTTTGTAGGAGTATAAACACTACAGTTACGAGGGTTCTGCTCAGAGAAGTCTAGTGCTCAGAGAAGTCTAATGCTCAAAGAGAACAAGTCTGTGTATACTATACCTTGATAAATGCCAATGTCAAGGAATACAATTTAACATTCTTGTGTTCAAATATTGAGCTTAAGTATTTAATGGAAGAAAATTTCGATGCAAGAGAAATTTAGGAAGCAGGGAGGTTATGCCTTTGTTTCCTGTGATTGGAGCATTCTGTGAGCTCTTCCCCTGAGGAAGAGGCATGCATCATATCTTGCTCTTTTGTAAACTTTTTTTTTTATTCCTAATAATTTAGGTGATCTTTTACTACCTGGAGCTCAGCTGGAATGCTTCTTTGGATCTGTTGCCAGCGGCCTGTATGCTTAAAATTCGTAGGAACTCATTCTATCCTGAAAATGCGCAGGTTTTCTATAAACTCAAATTGCTGGATTAAAAAGTCACAATCTACAATTTACGGTAACTCACTGCTTGCCTTGGAATATAGCAGGATCATATCGCATCATTGAGAGGGTTTAGATGGGTGACTACCAAAATCAGTATTAGCAAAGTCAATATGCTGGTGAGTTATGGACAGACAGCTTCTCTAACTGTGCCTGGTACGCATCTTGCTAATGCTCAGCATTGTTATTATTCAGAAAAAAAAAATATTTATTGCCATTTCATTTAAATATTTCCTCTGGGGTTTTTTTTTCAGATCATAACCAGAAAGGAAACTTGCAGTCAAAAGACCTTTCTTCAAAAGGTTAGCCCTTTCCTGTGAGAGAATGGTCCCTGTTTGCAGATGAAAGATTGCCGAGGACCTGAAGCGTTTCCTCGGCTTCCTGCACAGGGCGGGTGCCGACGAGCCCGTCGGACCTCTCGGATGCAGTAGCTTTTTCTGACAAACTGCGGCAACTTCCTTCCCTGAACATGGTTGCACAGATGATGGTACCTCACTGGTTGCCTAGGTAAAGAACACAGCCCAGTACATGCATATTTATTTCAAAACAGGTGTTGAAGACCTCACCTGCTTTTGCATACCACAGGAACAGTCTTTTCTCATAAATCAAATCAGGGACATGTGATGAACAGATCCAATCCCTAAGGTGACTCAAAGACTCGTTGCCAGCAAGCACCCTCTTGCATTATTTCATAAAACCTTCTGACAATGTAGCAATGCAATCATGCTGAGCCTGGCCAGGTTGCTCTATCAAGATTATATCATTTCAAATTCTAGCGGGAGTAAACCCATCTAAAAATATTAAAAATTATTTCCTTGCATTTGCATAAGTTCTTTTCAGTGACTTACTTTGGTTACTTTGACACGCTGTAAGTAAAGCTGGAGACCAAGTGCAGCTGGGATAATAAGTGCTTTGAAATAATTTGGAGTTTTGTGTAAAGGAAAATGGTTAATTCGGGAATGTGCACGGCGAGCCAGGAATCGGTGCTATCCCTGCTCATTCCTCTGAGGGTTTTTGAATTATCCTGCCAGGCAATCCTGTCTTTTGGATTATCCTGTCTTTGGATCCGCTAGATGCGGAGCCAGGCAGAAAAGACCAAAGAGAAAAACTCAAGTTTCGGCCTCCTTGGCCAAGAACAAAAGGGTAATATTTCATGAGAAGTGATGCCCTTTAAAGGTCACACGATGTTAGTAGGACCTGAGGTGTTAGAGACAGGAGACAGAAATAGGGAAAACCGAGAAATGGCACAAAATGTGTATTTCAGCACCTCTAGAAATCCTGGATGTTTGGGAAAAGATTAAATATTAAATATTTATTATCATAGTTATTAAGCAGGCTGCATCTGCCCAGTGGCATGTGCTGGGTTAACAAGTTGCACTTCAAGTGAAGTACATTTAACATATACTTGCTTCTTAAAATGCATTGAACTAGCTAAAAATACCTGTTCAAAACAAAATGTCTTTTATTGTTTATTTGTTTGTCAAGTTTCCATTTGAGAAACACTTGTAAAATGCTGAGCTAAGCATTTAATATTTAGGTGTGTTAGTGCATAATAGTTAAGTTTATTAGTGCATTCCTAAGAAATCATTACACAAGAGCTACATAACTGATACTACTATGAATAAGTATTTTCCATACAAAAAAAAAAAAATCCTTCGAATCTATTTTGCTTGAACAGTTGGTGCATTATAAGGACAGCAGCTAGTCCACTGAGGATTAACTCAGTGAATTACTGCTTTGTAATTACCATCAATACTATGATTCTTTCCAGAAATTGAGTTCTTGTTAAAACCTATTTAGTTTTCTTAAGGACAGCAATTCATTCTGAACACCTCTCTACAATTTTGCAATATTGTTTAGCACTGGAAGGCAATATACTATGTTTGATGACTTCAGATGTTAATATGGAGCATCTGACTTTGAAGAAGAGCAAGACAGTGAAAGAATTCTCTTTAGCTGGATCATATCCATGCATCTGTCTTGAACAGCATCTCTTGCCTACAATGTATCTGCATCTCCCAAATCTTCTCATGCATGTTCCCATATATATTTCTAACTCTGTACTCTGTAACTAGCATCAGCAGAACAAGTGGACAAGGATAACTGCGGGAGCAAGACATACCTTTCTCTTCTGCTTCGCTCCCTTTCACTTTCTTGGCAGCTGTATCTTTTTAGATGTACACAGAGAGAGCGAGAGCTAGCGGGGATGAGAGGAGGGAGGGCCTTTCTTTGACCTGATTTCTGTCGATGACTGACCGCTCTCTTCTCCAGCCAGGGGCTGGAGCCTGTGCTTGGAGAGCTG